CAGAGACTGGTGACAAAATAGAGAAGAAATAAGTACAACAACAACTATTGTAGCTTAGATGAGAAGTATATCTTATTGCCGAGCCTCAGACGCGGAAGATTATCATTGTTCAGAACAAACTTCGGATAGTCTTCACATGGCAGAAAGGGCGGGAGGTGGAATCTGAGGGGGTCTAACGAGCTGTATGTAGATTTTTTTTTTTTTGGCAGTGTCATCTCGCTCCTGGCCCGGCGGCTCGGGCCGGAAGCTCTGCGCTTGTGCGTGGAATCTCTCCGGATGATTGATCCGGTTGTACGGTATCACGGAGACGTAAGAATACATAATTAGGCTCTTTATCGGATAGGCATTCGTCGCAATGAACGTCGCTGCTGCCGATCGTCCTCCTCGATCGTGCTCGATTACATCGCAAATTTAGGCGGAGACGTGCAAATCCGCTCGGAATTAACCATTGCTCGACGGGAGAGCCCTATATGTATGTACATTTATTACGAAAGCCGTTTACGCGGTCAGGTTGTGTGTGTGTGTGTGTGTGTGTGTGTGTGTGTGTGTGTGTGTGTGTGTATGTGCGTGTGTGTGTGTGTGTGTGTCGGTCACGATAGATCTTGTCGGCTCGGAGACACGTGATGGAAGAACGATCAGCGGGGGAAGAAGAAGAGATGCGTGTAATTGTCGCGGAGTAAATATATACACGTACATCCGCCGTCTCGTGACCGATTGAAATTGAACGGGAGAAGTGTGGGAGATGCAAAAGCGTATCTGCAGAACTGGAGAATCTTCGTATTTTTATCCCGAATAAAAGCGCGCCACGCTCAACGCTTGAAATGTGGGCGAATGATATTCTAGTTTCGGCTCGTGACAAGCGTATTCTTGTATCTCTCACACTTCTCCCGATCCGAATTGAATTGATGACCTTTTCAAGTTCGATTCGAGTATATATTTTCCTTAAAACGCTTGTTAAACGAGGCGATTGTTAGCTCTACGGTTCAGATGCAGACACGAAGACGCAAGAGTTTTTAGACCGGTGTAATTTCGCTAAGTACTCAACTCTCGCTAGACACGCGAAATGTCAAGGGCTAGTCAAGATGCGTGGACACTTATCGCAACGACTGTACACAGTGTTATCTATATACATGATGCATGAGTGTTTACACAAGTGCAGAGATTTACTACGTTACTCTTTTTCTCTTTCTCTCTCTCTCTTTCTCTCTTTCTTTCACTCTCACTCTCACTCTGTCTCTCTCTCTAATTTATAAGAGTGACAGCAGACGGACAAGACACGTATTGTAGCGAGAAGTGATCGTGTTAAACTCGAAAAGGTCTGAGGCTACGGCAACTGAGGTATCTGTGAACAAACGCATTTTCACCGTCGTTGATTTAGCCTTCGTGCATGCATAAGTAGTATGATCGACGGATCCGGGAGCCGTTGTCATATATATATGCAACGGAGCCTCTTTTTTTTTTTTTTTCTTCTCTTCCATCACTTAACGGCTTAACAATTTGTCGTCGTTTTTTATCTTCGTTTTGATATCCCTTAACTACCGGTAATCGTTCCCGTCCATTAAATCGAAGACGCGTATTTTTTTTTTTTTCTTTTTCTTTATGTATTTGTATTCGTTTTGTACTTGTACTGTTCAGCAAGGCAGCGTGTTGCACTTTGTTTACATTATAATTATAGTCGGGCCGTGATTGTCCACCGAAGATTCCACAACGTCGCGAAGTTGTGCGAGAATTCTTGTCGGGAAGCGTGATCCGTTGCGTAAGAACTTAATACGGACTCGTGTCGACGCGTCGTTTTTCTATTATGATTAAAGGATTGACTTTGAGTCGATCGGTACGACAATGAGATGTAGAAATCATAGGTGCACGAACAGGTGCCTCGATATAATGTATCTCGAAATGGTTCGTGAAGAGAAGCGGTTTTGCCGTTTTGTAATTTTATTACAAACGTGAAGTCATAACTCGATAATCCTGAGAAAATGAACATTAAATACAATTTTTATAGGCATCAGATTTTAAAAGATTTGAAAAAATTAGAACTTTTATTTCAATTTATTTCAAAGTCGCTCTTTGCTGAGAAGAAAATGTACCTCTTAATCATTTTTAATCGTAGTAGAAAAAAAACTCGCTTTCGAAATTTTTACCTGCGGTCTCTTGGGCTTTCAGTCTTATGGATTCAAAATTGCTTAATCGTCTATTCGTTTTGTTCCTGAATTCGAACACTATGTCAAGGTTCGATCATAAAGAAGAAACGTAACCGCGGAAAACGGAGTGTAAAAAGTAGAGTCCTCACGCGAGAACTCTCCCTTCGCGTTCATCTCGTATTTCCGTTGACGCTCTTCAGCTTCCTTTAGAGATACAGATACGAGAATTTTTCGGCAGAAAAAAAAAAACAAAAACTGATAAACGAGAAGCGCTATGATCTGCTCTTGCAACACGTGGATCCTTTTGCGTTCTACGACCCGCTCTACATTTCGACAGCTTATGATCTCTGTGACGATGATGCAACTAAAATTAAGCTTACAATGTAGCGATTAAAAAGGGATCGATACCATGTCGCGCGCACGTCGGCAAAACACTTTGCCACGACACGAACGGACGTCTTTTTTTGCGAATTCGCGAGTCGCAATCTTTACACGTCGGGACTATGTATCTCCCTCCTTCTCGCCTCAGATTTGCGGATGACATACATACGTCACAACAAATCTCCGAATAAATAGTACTCTTTATAATAGCAATATCGATTATGTAGCAATAGCGGTATTAGTTGTAAAAGATGATTGCAGTGGTGTGAAATGGCGATAGTAGCAATATCGTAGGTACTCATAATAACAGCAATAGTTATAATAATTGTAATTACTATAATAGCGGCAATAATATAATAATAATAATTAATAACTGTGATAATAATATAATAATAATAATAATAATAATAATAAGTATTCAATCAGTTCCCCTAACACATTTAAACAATCGGTTTTGTAAAACGTCGTAATAGAATACGAAATAAAAATAAGGATCTGAAAAGATAGATACTCTAACAAAGGTGTCTATACAATATTTATGCGTACATAGTGCAACATAACGTACCATCGTGACCAGTCCTCAATATCGTACACATTTTATGAACAAAGTTTAATTAAACTATAATCTTATAATAAACGTATTGATATAACAAAAAAAATTATTGACAATATTGAAAATAATAGTAATGCAGCGGTACTAATAACAATAATAACAGCAGCAGTAATCATACTAGTAGTAGTAGTTATAGTAATAGAAATTATACTAATGTGCTGCCTACTACTACTAATAATAATAATAATAATAATAATAATATTTATAATCAATCGTTAATAATAATAATAAAATAATTATAATGATGAGGAAGATGATGATGCTATTACTAATGAGAATGACGTTGGTGAAGATTATGGCGGCGGTGACGATGACGATGACGGTGACAATGAGAGACAATCATAATAGTACATAAAGCATAATATAAAATTCTCCGGCGATGTTAGAATACACAAGTACCTCTCCTTTTATGCGGGCAGACTCGCGGAAGATATGTTTAATATACGTACAATGATATATCCATAATAGTATCAGAAATAACGGACGTACAATGCGTGAAGCGAAGAGAAACGTGGCTGCTGCGGACGCGAAATCCTCTCGCCGCGTGTCGCTTGCGCGAAAACATCGTTCCGGCTTCGTCCTTTCGCGGATGGACGTCACGCGAGATCCCGCGGAAAAAAAAATCTCTTCACCTGCCATTTCGATGCGACATCCGCAGCGGTCACGCACTCTTCTACGTGTCTATTACGTTGTATGATACATTAAGAAAATAGCGCATACCTCATTCGTTTACGCTCGTGCGATTCGTGATTCATCATTCGCGCCAGCTTACGCACGCTCGGCGTGCCACCTTAATCTAATATATACACAGACATAATCGTATACATATACGTATACGTACACACATACATATACATACACATATACACTTCAGTTACACGCTAGAGATGTATGTAATATTCACATGGGCTCACATCTCTCTCGCTCTCTGGGGTTGGTACACGTATGTACATTCAAGAGTACATCGAATTTCTCCGGGGTCGCCTCGCTCGCTAAACGAAGGCGACGTTTAGAGTCTCGCTAGGTTCCCATTTTGGCCCGAATAATTGGATTGGATGTTGAAATTAACTGCAGACGGTGCGTCGCACTCGCCAGATATTCGCCAAACCTAATGCCGCGAATTATGCCGCCGACATAGTGCAATGTCGGCGCAGTATGCGAATAAAATGTCGTATATATACGGTATATCGTATATAACAAATTTTTTTGTTGCAATTATGCAATCCTCCGAATTATTATGTGTTTCGAATATCTGCCCAGTGAACCAACCGTCCGCAGTCAGACGTATAAATTTAAACGAATGGAATTAATCGCTCTCTCTCTCTCTCGCTCTCTCTCTCTCTCTCTCTCTCTCTCTCTTAATCGTAGTCCCACTTTGTATGTATATTCGATAAGAACGATATGAGGTAATGCCCTATGTACATAAAAAAGAAAACAGAGTCGACAGTTAGCAATAAAATTTTTGGTACAAGTAGAAAAAGATCCATACTACGTAAGTTCTTAGTTATATTGAGCGCAAATAACCAACCGTTATTAATCCTAGTTTCTCTTGTTGATACGACAATCGTCATTAAACTGACACGACGTTCTCTAAGAGTTATCGTACTATTAATTACCCATAGACAGTAATGATATTTTCTTTTTCTTATCGTTTCACCATTTATTTTTCATTCTTTTTTTTGTAATTTTCTTTCTTCTGATAAATTTAAAAACTTTTGTAACAATAAATTTATACTTAAGATTTTGTTAATATTAATTATGGCACAATTTAAATATATTTTATTTAAAGTCTTTTTGAAGACATAATAAAAATAAATCTAAGTAGTCTTTCTCCTATGCACGATGTTCTTTTTTTTTTTTTTTCTAAGTTCATATAATTACATCGCTATTTCATTTTATTAATTAGCATTGATGTACTTCTCTTTGTGCTTCTTTCATAGTTCCGTTTGATCCCCCTTTTGGAAATAAAATTTCTTTTCTCTTTTCATTGAAACCGAAGAGTGTTTCTATCGAAAATAATCGATTTACAACTTTCCCGGACTGTCGTGATATTCCTCTCACAAGAACTACGAATCGCCATTCTTGATATCGGCTTGCTAGTTGATAAAAACTAACAAATTGCATTTTTATCAAAGATATAAAATAGATGGAGAAATCGAAATCGTAATTTGATTCTCGGTGGAAAATTATGGATGTGTTATAGATGCGGCATTCGCGATTCTACACTTTCCAAGATAAATACCACTCGCGTCAGAGAAAGTTTTACAAAGTTTTCTCGATGCTCTTTGGTAATATAATATCACATGATAAAAGAAAACTTTAAACCAATCAAAAAAAAAAAGAAAAAATCTAATCAGTCGATTCCTCTAAAAAATAGGAATTAAAAAAACGAGGAAACTAGTAGAAATAAATTTGAGTCTTTAAATAAATTGACAATTATACGTTACAAAAATCAGCCTTCTCAAAAGTAAATTCGCGTATCAAAGTATTTCGTCACAGCGCCAGGAAGTAAACTTGACCTCTTCAGTTGTATCGATTCGAATTTATATAACTTATATAGAACCCGTTCGTCGAAGAATGGGTGACTAACTTAGAATTGGCTTTTCTTTTTAAACGGGTCAAAAGGAAGCTGTTGACAGTGCGAGTATGGCGAACACCAGCGTGTGAACACTCCGGAAGAACATTCCTGTCTTCAATGCTTACGATATATTGTTTTAGCCTGCTGACGATGAGATTGCACCATTTCTGTCGCCGGTCGACAGGCGAATCGCGCGAAAACGAGTAATTTTAAGTAAACAGTAAACCCTCGCGGTTTTTTTTCTTTTTCTTGAAGCTACACACACATCGCACCCTACCGCCGCAATAGTAGATCCTGCTGAGTTACACGTCGGTGTAAGTTACAGTCAGTCCTCTCGTTCTCATGTCGGAAATATACGCGGTTTCTTACAACTTGTATAATATATACACGCACATTATTACATAGGATGCGAGCAAAAGATAACATTTAGATAGACTCGAAAATATTTTCGCCGCGTCGCTGCTTCTCAATTTTTTTCCCGATTCCCCTTACGATATATATATATATAAATCATATATACGAGACGAAAGATTCACACATTAAAAATCCCAAAAATTTCCCGTAATATTTTTTTCCTTCTTTTTTTAATCGTACCTTCGTTATATATCCTAAAACGATTAGCGTTTAATTATTAATATTGATAATATTCCTCCTCGACGGGAGAGACGGGGCGCGTACCTACCTAAAATTTCGTCCGTGTGTAAACGGTTCGAGACCTTGGCACATACCGATAAATAATCTATAGTCATTCTGTTTTTCTCTGTCGTCGCTTCGGCTCGCCTCGGCGTGTAATGGGTCGTTACCCTGCAACAGTTACGTGCCTCATGTACACGCGGACGTGATTGCGAGCGAGAGCACGCGCGACACGTCCGCATATACACTCGTGCGCACATATCTATCCACCCAACACGCGTATGCGGACGTTTGCTAGACGTTTACACTAGACTAAGTCTATCTGCGATGAATGGCAACGGCTGATCACACTGGACGCGTCTATGTCGTGCGCGTCAGCGGAGAGGAAAATATCTGCGGATTTTTTTAGAAACCACGAGAAATAAGGGAAATCAAAATTGCCGGATCAAACCTTGATCGTCCTTTACGTTTCGTCGATTAATCGTGAACGCCGATAGATGTGTTTAAAGCAAAATTATTTGCTGTGAAAGAGTAAATTTTTTTTTTTTTACTAGATCGACAGATTGATCAACGGTTGCCCGCCACCCTATCCCTACTACCACCCCATCTCGAAATTTTCGAAGTAATACGCGATGAAATTTGTCCCGATACAGTCTCGCCCCCTTACGATACATCATACAACACCGAACATCGACATAAATTCCGTATACTTTTTTTTTTTTCTGTTCACATAGCTTTAGCAGTCGCGCTAGTATACCAACCGAAGAACATCACAGAAATTTCCCGACATTATTTAATAATCAATTATTAATTTTTTCCTTTCTTCGTCGCTAGAAGAGTTTTTTTAAGAGTACGCCCGGCGATCATAATGTGGAACAGACATACGTTTCTTTCCTTTTTTTGGTCTCACTTTCTCTCTGTTTCTTTTGTCGAATCGTTTGATGCCACGCTCCCCGATTATCACAGAATCACAAAAATTTCCGGAATGACTAGGATCAATTTTTTCTTCACTAACCAATCGCGCCTTCTTAGCAGGTCAAAAGTGACTTTTTCAAGAAGAAAAAAAAAACAAAAACGCTTTCGCGAATCTCGGCCGCTGCTTCATTCGATCGATATCGTGTTCTCCACATTATGCCCTGACCAAACGTCATCGAGGATCGGTCTACCGATTTAAGAATGTATATGTAATAATTATAAAATCTCTCTCGGTAGAGATAGCTAAATATCTAAAATCGTATATTTTTCACAGTATACTTCACACTTCGAAGATATGTTTGGAAACTCGTGCTTACCCTTTTCCTTTTTTCTCTTTCTCTCTCTCTCTCTCTATCTCTCTTTCTCATCTCCCTTTTTCTTTTAATCTTTTCACCTTCTCCGGCCACGAATGAAACTCGAGGCAGGCCATGTCCATCCCCGTGTTTCTCTTTTTTTTTTTTCCTTATTCCGCGCATCCATTAAATATTCCCTTTCCGATACTACGCATCCTAAGAGTTAGACGTAGACATAATTTATATTTTCCACGATAATTTGTACTTGCTCATTAATTATTATGGCATTTCCTTTTTTCGCCTTACAGATAAAACATCAACATTTTCTCGTTTCTCTACGCTGAGTTTTAAACCTGAATATGTTACGATGAACAACTTTTAGGGTTTCTTCTTTTCTTGTACATTTGTTAATATGGATATATTAAAGTTTGAGGAGCGGAGCAGTGTTCCATAACTTCTCATAAATTCACTCAAGTTATTTCAACCATTTAAAGAGTTCGATTCGCTTGTTTCGCGACGTAACGGGGAAATAAACGGAATGTAAACAGAAGAATTTTCCTTGGCGCCATTATAACGGAGAGAAACGCGCGTTGTAGAAATAGTTTTGTTCGCGAAAAGAAACAAAAAATGCAAGAGAATTAAAGCTCCGTAGCACTGCTCCGCCCATTCACGAGATATCTATGTAAGGACTATGCCGATTTTTATAAAATCTGAACAGGAGAATATCATCGTTATCGATGTATCGTACGAATATAATATATTTACAGTTCAAAATATTACTTTTAAAGAGTTAAAAATATAGTTTGTATTTAGCGCACATACGACGAATCTACATATACACGTTAAGAACCCATGATATAGCTCTACCATCTCCGCGTCTACGCTCTCTCTCTCTCTCTCTTCTTTCATCTCGTAAAACCGATTTTCCGTTCTCCCCCTCTTTCCTTCGACGCTAATCGGCGGCTTCTGCGACGTTCGATCGCAACGTGCCTCGACCTCGATTGCTGCCGTTGTTGTGATCACTTTTCACCGATCAGCGCGTCAACTTTCGCACGTACGGATGCATTGATGTCACGCGCATCCTCGCGCGTCATTTCGCCGTTAGGCCTAACGTCATCGCTTCGCGTCTACTCGAAATCGATATATATATATATATATGTACCGACCTTGGCGCGTTCGTGATTCGCGCACGTGAAAGTGCATTCGGCATGCACACGCGTGTGTTGTGATCGTGTGGACCGCGTGAATGATTCCGACGCCGGATTCACGATCTCGTTTCACGCTCGATTGTCTCCCTGGTTCGCCCGTTTATTCGCGCAATTCGACAGTTCAAACGTATTCTCAGATCAACACGTTAAATTGTTCGCTCTACGCTCGACAAGGCACGCCACTAATCCCATCGTTTTACGAATTGTTTCCGCTCACGCGCAACACGCTTGCTCGAAACTCGCGACGCGCGAGGCGGATCGCACGGAACACGCATTGATATTCATTCCGACGGTTCGGCGTGCATTGTCCATATGGAAATTGTTAGGCGTTATTTCTCGATAGCACCGACATAGAAGAATTCCATCTGTAATATAAATTCGATCTCGAAAACGATCTCCGGAAGACCTGTTCCCCTTCCCCAAACGTCCCGTCCGCTTCGGAGAACGTTAAAGCTAAAAATGTCGCGGCGCGATAACGCTGGAAATTCGTGCCGCGCGTTCGAAAATCCATCGTTTCGAAATCTTGCCGGAGAAGCGACCGTTATGCGGTCAACTCGAGTCATGAACGTACAGCGATCTGATCGCTGACAAATGGAATGTGTGTTTTCGCTTCGCGCACTGACCTTAACGCTCGAGTCTCCTTTCCTTCCTTCCGTTTCAGTCGAACTACATGCTTCTCAGTCAAATTGTCCTTCTTTGGATTCATTGCAGTCTTGACGAAGAAAAATTATAACGCTACGGCGAGCCTAAACTAGAAGAACCGTGGTGTGTCCGCGGAAAAGCGGAGGGGAAAACTAGAAGAAACCGAAATTTGGATCAGACTGACTCGTTCGCGATTCAAATTCTAACTTAAGGTTTCTGTGTACCCCTTTTTCTCTCTCATTCTCTCTCTCTCTCTCTCTCTCTCATCCGTTTCCCATTAATGCGATCACGTTGCTGATCATTAGGCATTGTATGCTCTGCAAATACGATAAGGGTAAATGAGTCGTTGAAATTACGGGGAATTTTGCTGCAATTTAACAATTTAGCGAGTTAAATTGCTTCTAGATTAAACTAATTCCGGTTTGCTGTCTTTTTCTCGATTATAAATCAAAACGCAGACGGGGAAACAAAATTAGTCCAAATTGTTGTCGGTGCACATCAACTTAATCTATCGATTTCAGTTAACTAATTGTTATCGACGATTCCTCAATTTAGATTGCAAATCAGTAGTGCAGAATTTAGATATTTACGCTCCGAGCGAAGCAACTTTTGCGCGAGTCGTGAGTTGCACCGACAACTTAGGACAACTTTCCTCAACGATCCTGACGTCTTCTACATCACAGATCGGTGTCAGATACAGCAAAAAAGGATTAGCTCAATCATATAATTCAAGCTGACTTGAGTTCAACTCGAGTCGAGCACGGGAGCGTCTCGGGACGCAAGGTAGTAGTACTTCCGTGTTTTCGATCGTTCGGCCTCAGCTGCTCAGTCGAACTGTGCGCCGTTCGACTGATATCGGCCGAGCGAATGGTGTAAGAAACGACGATGATGGCGACGATGACGGCGACGGCGAAGACAGTGGCGACGACGGTGACGACGACGCAGACGGTCTTGGCATGCGGGAAGGCTTTGATTTTTCCGACGCTTTCATTGCGGTTGTTGCTGCATCTGCATCTGATGATGCATGCTACCGAGGACGTTCTTGATCGCCGAGGCCTTGAGGAGCCGCTTGAGCACGCCGCTGGTGCCGCGGTGTTGCAGGCTCTTGTGCGTCGTCAGCGAGTTTTTCGTACGATACGTACGATTGCAGAACTCGCAAATGTAGAGCGTGTCCGATTGCTCGTGTTTGTCCTGGAAGTGGCGTTTGAGGGAGTAGTAGCACGAAAACGTACGACGGCAGTACGGACATTCCTGAGGCTCGTTTATGCCACCCGCCGTGGGTGGTGGCATTTGGTACACGACAGTGGGAGGCGCCGTCGGTGCCGGATGCATCCCGTTGCCCGTACCTGAAACGCATCCAGATCCGTATGAGATCGCTCGCAAAAAAAGAAAAAGTTCACTCGCCGAAGGGATTGGTATTCATTGAAACCGGCGGGTAATTTCGACGAGTCGATTTCAATGTTAAAGCTACGTCGAAACAGATCTCCGCGTTTGTCGAAAAAACACGACACTGATATAAAGTACGTGTTGTCGCATCCGTAATATGAAAGATCGAAGTCGTCGAAATACTAACGGTTTCAATTATTGCTATCCGCTTCGTTTTTGATGACACTATAAAAATTCGATACGATCGACCATCGTAATGACGTCACATTAATCAAATGCATTGATCAGATTAGAATTGAAAACTTAGAGCTGATAATTCCACGTTTCACGAATAAATGAAAGTCACGCTTTATTCGTTTATCCGCAAATTAACTTGAAAACAGCGATGAAAATTTGAAAATTGGATTTTTAAAAATCGAATAACTCGAATTGTCTATAACACATAATTTGCCATTTAACTCCGCTAACATTGTAACGTAATAAAAATCAGTGTGTACGTTATATAAATTAATTCTAAAATTATGTGCGATAAATTTTTAGTAGAGTAATATAAGAAACTGTGTACTTGGAATTATCAGCTCTATATCGACTTACCAAAGTTTAATTGCGTTTGAAAATAAATTCAGAATGATGTGGAGTTGTGTGCAAAATGCAAAGCTCCATAGATAATTTAGATAGATAAGTTTGTTAGATAGCGTTGACGCGTGTAGTCGTCATTCCTACTCTCTTGTGAATTTTATTGAGTATTCGGAATAGTAGACATCAAAAGATCCTGATCGAGGAAGAGGAAATGAGAAAAGGAACAAGAAAAGGAACTGTGTATCATTACCGCGTGCATCGAGTTAGCGATTAGTATGTTAGCGTTAGTGTATCAGGACCAATTTGTCGATAGTAATTATTGACAACTTCGTGTATCGAATCAAATTGTGCATAGTTTAAAAATTTCAGCACGTATCTTGTTAGTCATATTATTAGTCGAACGGATTAAAAATTAATGGAGAAATGTTAACTAGTTCTAAGCGTGAAATCGATTTCGCGATTGCGCGGAAAAATAATACAGACTGTTTCGCGTCTTATAATAATATTCCATTTATTTGACATGCGCCCAGAAAGTTTGTATCGATGCCGAATCAATAAAAATTAATAACAGAAAAGCACAAATAACGAAAATGCTAATAATAAAAAAAAACTGTTATAAAATAAACATAAAATAATATAAATGTTTAATATAATGTTTAATAGAATTATATTCTACAGTTTTCTGATTATTTTGCAAATTGTATTTTAATTTTTCACGATGCTCGCAAACATCCATTAACGAACGTATACTTATTGTTGATCTTTGTATTTTTATGAAACGTATAATTTCCGTCAATCGCGTGGTTTCGCGAAATCTCATTTTAAATCATCCAACTCGTACATATTTTGTACCGGTTTTTTTTTCTCCGAGTTAATGCGCGCGCGTTCAGTAATGTCCGATAGAAAATATAAAACAATAAAGAAACGCGAATTAAGTTAAATATACGTAGCCAAAGCTACAAGCAAACAGACAGCAGGCGGACAATTAGGTGGACATGCAAACAAGCAAGCAACAAATAGCTAAATGAGCAAGATAGGGTAGCTTGACTGAAAGAAAAGAAATTACATGAGAGGAAACATACGAAATGCGGCGGACATAAATGAAAAAGAATAAGGCAGATTGATTGGTTATTTCGTAAAATAGTTGCCTATCGCAAATGATAGATCGCTTTTACTGTCAATATGCCAAGACTTTTTAGCTTCGCCGTCCATATATACCTATCCCCATGGCTCGCCGCATCAGAAAGTAAAGCTAGTCAGTACATTATTCCAAGGAGATTTATTTAACAGAATCGTTGATAATCCGCAAATTATTAATTATAATCAATGTTGGTGCAACGATTTTTCGCAGTATGCATGTTATAGATACGTACTAAAACTAATTTCGCGTGGACGAAAAAAAATACTATAATCGAGTGACGTCGACAAGTAGAAGGCTGAAATAATTCAGAATATCGTTACACCTCTCGATCGCAATAGTAGCTTGATTACAATTGAAGCGCCAAGATTTTTTTGTCATCAATGATTAGCGAAACATGTATTTCCCAAAATAATGAAAAAATGTCCGAGAGAAATCGAAAAAAAAAAATATATATCTGAAAATTTCAAGTATCATTATTCTTTAGGCATTTGTGTCCGAACTTGTCTCCTTGACAGTTTCTTTAGAAAAAAATGCGTCCGTATTCGTGCGCTGTTGCGTCCTTCCGCTATCAATGCGCCGATTGTAGCTGCGCGGCATGCTGCTTTACTGATGCGATCGGGGACTCGAGCCACTGACAGCAGGTATAACGGACCGGCGAATACCGGAAGAACTCGATCAACGGCGCGTACGGTACCGAAGGGGCGCGAAGGACGACGGGATAAGAAGGAAAGAAAGCGGTTACGCGAGCCGAGAAGCGGACACGGACGGTAAGCACGGGACTCGGACCGTAAGGCGAACAAGAAGAGAAAGAAGATATAACGCGTGCAAGTCCCGAGACCGGTTTCTCGCCGTGGCATGCGCCATTCGCGGAGTGCCGGCGCGATGCGCGAAGGAGGAAAGAGGAAGCGAGCTCTCCGTATTGCGTCGGTGCGATGACGGAGTCATCCGACCCCGAGTCGGAGAGCGGAGAGAGAGAAACGCGATGCATCTTCGGTAAAACGCGTGCGGATAAAAATGAGGGAGTAAATCTCGAGAAAGAGGCACGATAGGAAAGTCAAGCGTGTACGCTTTGGTATATGTACGTATTTGCGGATATATGCATTAGAGAAAGAGAGAGAACAAAAAATATATAGATATAAAGAAGAGACAGAAAGAAGAGACAGAGAGAGAGAGAGAGAGAAAGAAAAGAGAGGAAAGGAATGTGTGTACATATGTGTATTAAGTCGCAAGGGGTGAGTTTTGAGAGGCTTTATGTTAAAAACTTTCGAGATGCTGTGCGCCATAGGTATGATTTTTTAGCGTGGTCCCTACCTTATCTAAACCTTCAAAAGAACTTAATGTCAATGTCGCCGGGCCTGCTCTTATGATAGGTATATATATGGGTCATCAGGGAATTACGCGAGCAGTACACCCGCTCGCAGATGACGCATCTGTACTCCTCCTGTCGTTCGGCGTGTTTGTCGGCAACGTGGCGTTTCAGGGATGCTTTGCTGCATAGTACCTTGCTGCACAGTTGGCAGGTGAACAACTTCTTCGCTGACTGGGTGTTCAGAGAGTGTAAGGTCAGCCCCGTCATAGAGGTGAGCACTGAAACACAATAACGCACCTCTCATGCAGCTGCACACCCCCAACATTTAAAACCCACTCCCCTGCCGCCCCGCCGGTGAGAAACGGCCGCGTGCGCGACGCTACTCGCGGAATACTCTACAGCCTGTTCGCGCGATCGCACGCACGAACGGTCCTTCTCGTGTTGCGCTTGTGTGTGCCTCTCGATCGGCTTCAAGTCGCGTCGATTGTGCGGTTCTTTTGCAGCTCGAATAAGTGTGAACTCGTGTCTTCAATGACCGGTCAAGACAGCTTAAAATGTGGTGTTTCTCTTAGAAATATTTTTCAGCAAATATGTATAATAACTCTACGATTAACGAATTGCACGTCATCATTATTCACCGCAAAATCTTCTCTTTTCTCGCGATGAAAATTATTTTCAATTTTAATCCTCTTACATCGTATTTACTATCGTGTAAAAATTCGTAAAATTCGAGCGAACAATGCGTGTGTATTTAAAATTCGTTTCAATTACCTTGGAAAAAGAAATGGAGAAAAATTTTATATAAATTAATTTCGCAAATCTGACGATCAGCGCGTGACTGTGAAGTAATCGACACTCTCCTTTGCCGTCGCACCTTCTGCTGCTTCTTCTATTCTTTTCCCACTTGAATCACGCCCCGCGCATTAATCAATCCATTGAAAAACGAGACTCGCGTCGTTAAAGAAGCAATTACACGTGTTTACGGCACGTCCTTGGAAACGCAATTGGGGAGGGAAGAATTGGAGAGATATGGAAGAATCGACGGCGCGCTGTTGCTTTTCGTGCGGAGGCGAAGTAAGAACTTTCTTTAATGGCGACTTTCCTCCCCGGGTCTTCTGCGGAACTCCGACCACACTGCTTAATACGGAAAAAAAGGGATAGAGGGCAAAATGCGCACGCACATGCATGGGATAGTTCGCATACGCACACACGCACATACACGGACACGATCACACGAGCGGACACACGCCGAAAACACACGCTTTCACACGTGTATACCATATGTGAATGTGTGCATGTACGGTCGCGGGAAGGCTTTTTCGTGGAAAGGAAGGCGGATGTGCTACTTCGCCGAATGCGAATTTGTGCATTTAACTTCTCTTACGCGGGGGACTCGACTCTATCCCGTTTGACACGCGACATTCTGCAAATCACTTGCACTCTCCTGCGGTTCGAGCGAGCTGCTTTTACACTTTGCGGTTACCGCGAGCGCGAGCCTTGTACGCCATGTCGCCGTACGTGTTTTCTCGACGCGCGTTTAAAACCGATTCCGGACGATATACAATCGTACACCAAACATTCTGCGAATGACTAATGTTATCGCACTTTACAAGTTTTCACCGCATTGTCATATGCGATTGTACATTTTCTGATATACCATACTGATTACCTCAGAATGACTTGCCATCTGATTACTTAAGATCCTAACAACGTATTCATTCGACGAAAATATAATTTTTATTTCAATGTCTTAAATAATATTACTTAGAGAAATAAACAATGACACAATAAGAAAATGGGTGGCGGGAGAAAGGACGTGGAGTTGATAGTTGTTCGGATGGAGCACAGGAATTGCCTATGGAATCACACATTCGCATATGTTTTCCATCAAGAGGTAGGCCATACAAGCCGTTTACTAGCTTGTATTATGA